CCACAGACTGAAACGTGAGTCCATGGTATTCAAAGTATTGTGCTAGAAGCTGACAGCCTGCCTAAACTTCTCACATTCAAATGAAAATTTTGTTTTTCCAATCAAACCTGTGAAGTGTGTTTTTGTCATTCCTTAAAATATCCTAAAGAGTAAATTTAACTTGGGTGATGAAAGATTGTAAAGAGTTACTAAAGAAATAGTCTACTATAAACAAAAGTACAGTGTTGATATTTTTCTGTTATGTAAAGGCAGAAGGGTAGCACCACAGATGAAAACCTGAGCTATTGGCTCAGGGAGTGCAGATAAGTAACAAACTCTGGCTTGCACATGAACGCTTGAAACAGCTTTGTCATGCCTGCCCTTGACTCAGCCCCAGATCCAGTTCCTGACAGCCTAAGAGGGGAGGATTCCATGCCTTTAAGAGCTGAAGAAGCATCAGGATCTGCACCTACTGTAAGTACGGAAGAGGATACACAGCAATCTGAGCCAACTACAGGACGGTTTGCACCTCGGATTGATCGGGCAGTAAGCAGCTCACCACCTGCATCTCCCCCACCTGTAAGCCGGCTTAGGGATAGGAGACATCAGGATCTGGCTAGCCGACGAAAAGAAGCGCGTTCAAGAGGGCGGAGATCCTTGAGCCCTGAGTTTTAACAGCAGCCAGGACCTCGCACAAAGGTGCTAATGGGTTAATGAGCCAGAGCACTATTTAGGAGGGCCTCTGGCCATGAGCACTTTGTGCTGGCAACCTTGTTCGTAGAACCAGAAGCTCTGCACCTTGATTCCTGTTTGACTCTGTGGCTTTTTGGACTCGGCTTGTGTTTTTGGACTTCTGCTCTGGCTCCTGACCCCCAGCTTTGAATCTGACGACGCTCTCGGCTTTGCTCTCTGGACTCTGACCTCTGGTAACGTTTGACTACGGCTGTGTCTGGTGTTTTGGGACTTGTTTAACGCTCTGCTGACTGCTATCCCAGCTGACCCTCGGACGTGTCTTGTGACCCACCCTCCCAGCCTGACTCCCTGGCTCTACCATGACAAGTTTCACACTATCAAACCATTGGTCTTTCAAGGTCAATATAGCCTTCTCTGAATGGAAGCAGCTCTCCGGGATCTCAGGCTGAGGTCTTCCACACCACTGACTACCTGATCCTTTTAATGGAAGATGCCGGAGATTCAACCTGGGACCTTCTGCATGCAAAACATATGCTCTGCCACTGAGCCACAGACCATCCCCAACCCATGGTTTGTCTGCTTGTTACCTCTTTCCTATCTGTACCAGGACAGAGCACATTTCCCCTATACCGTCTGTGGCCAAGTCCTATAGGATAGTGCTACTTAACAAACTGCTGTTCATGAATTGCATTGTCACAGTGCATCAGAGTTAGTAATGTCTGTGATTAACAAACCAGCTATATACCCTAGTTTGAACCCAGGTGTTCAGTACCAGCTGACAAACTCTGATTTGTTGGATTGTCTACGTTTGGAAGTCACATCGGAATGGCATTTGATTAAAACGTGGTTTAGCATGACAGCTGAATCCAATCTTGGTCTTCATACATTTTACTTTGCTTCCTTGAAGTAACAAATTAAGAATGAAATAATTTCCATCTCCTTTAGAATTGAGTTAAAGTGTTTAATAATGATCTCAGTCAAAATGTAGGTAAAACTGTTTTTCTAGCTGTGAAAATATGATTGTATCTTTCTGAGGTCAAAACCGACCAAAAGTTTGAGAATCTGTTAAACTAACTGTAAGAGCAAAGACCAGTTTCTGAAAGCTGGAGTCTGCTTCGAAGCTTGTAAGAGAAAGGAAAATGGTGGTTCATAGTATGATGAGTGTCTCCCATCTGTTGTAATACAATCTAGAACATTAATTCTGCTATCTTTTAATACCGTTGTCTAATAGATTTGTATGTTTAAGGCACGTGTTGTGTTCCTCTAATTAAAAATCCTTTCATATTGCAAGATTTGTATGAGCAATGAGGCAACTTCTCTATAAAGGCCACAATTAGAAAGGAAGAAAAATGGCAGTTGAGAGAGAGAGAGAGAGTTCACCTCCATGTTCTTCTCATTTATAGCTCCAGAGACCAGTGCTGGCATTATTCCAAAGACCATTGAAGTGACCCTGTACAAAGAAGGCAACAGTTTTGGATTTGTGCTCCGAGGTCAGTGTTCTTTCAGCCCATGATGATTAACTGGTGTGGTTAGTCCAGTCACCACTAGTTAGCACAGTGCTTAAATAAAGCTACAAATGCAGCGGAAGCATGCTGGGCCCATAACCTATTGAGGTTAACTGGTGTGGTTAGTCCAGTCACCGCTAGTTAGCAGAGTGCTTAAATAAAGCTACGAACGCAGGAGCATCATTTTACCAGGTTACTCAGCTTACAAAGTTACACAGAGCTACATTGCAAGTTTAGAAGAGAAATACTTCATTCTCTATTTGAGAAGTACACTTTGAATAGGAAAGAGGAGAGACAGGATAAAGTACTAACTTCCTAACTAAAGGATGGAAGCAGATGGCAAGAGGCCCATCTGCCTCATAGTGCCAAGAGAGGACAGCATGTATCTTTCTTGGTGCATGCAGGAAGAGAGCTCGTCTTCAACTGAGTGAGAGAGAAGAAGGAAGGGGAAATGGTCCCTCAAAACACTGTCTGTATTTCAAAGGGGACATTGGCAGAAGAGTAAAGACAGGAAGAAGGATGTGTGCCTATCTAGCCTCTCTTGCCACAAAGTTTGGCGCTATGAGGCAGGGAACATCTCACCTGGAACTTTCTAAGTCAGCTTTTGAAAGTTGGGGAAAGAAATAGTGACGGGTGTTACATGGAAATCAACCTCAAGGCTAATACACACACAAAGCAATCCTCAAGAAGTGCTTAGTTTATTATCTGTAGTAGAGCTTCATATGTGTTTGTCGAAATCTTTTGACTGTTTCCCCAAAAATGCTTAATATGTTCCACTGTAGTAAAACAAGTTTCTTATATCGGTGCATTTCACAACTTTTGCCATTTTATTACAGGAGGAGCCCATGAAGACTGGCACAAATCCAGGCCATTAGTATTGACCTATGTTAGGCCAGGTGGCCCGGCAGACAGGTAACATTTGCATCAAACTACACTTTGCAATGGAGCTTGAACAAATTACTCTTTCTAGTAGTAAAACGGCTGGTTTTTGTCATGGCAATGAAAGCAGGGAAACTAGGATACGTAGAAAAAAAAGTTAGGGGTTTCTACATACTCCTTGGATTCCCCAGATATGCATACCAAAATGATTTTGTGTATTAACCAAATGGGAAGCAAAGGACTTGATGAATATGAAGTAAGCTCCAAGAGGCACAGAAAGTTGAGAACAGCTCAGTGTCCACTCAAGAGGGGGGAAAGAAGAATTAGCCTGTTCATGCCCCTGAGAGCTTGTAGGATCCTGTAGGGGGCGTTTGTGGAGGACAGGATTTTCAGATTGTCCCCTCCCCTATTCTTTGCAGGTCTCCAGCTTGTAGATGACTAAAGGAACAGTGTAGGAGCATGAAATTCTAGCAGGTTTATATCCCAAATTTGTTACTAAAGTTGACATTTGGATGTATCTTTTTACTCAACAGGTCATTTGAACCTGTATGGATAGTTTCCAAGTGATCACTTAAATGCAGTTCTCCCAAGAGACAGAGTTTTTAAAGCCAAATCAAAATATTGACGTTTCAAATCCATTAGTAATTTAAAAACCAGCTGTTGAAGTATTCAGTTAGCTGTATGTACCCTCTGATTGAGTTCACACCGATTTCTTGTAAGATCCCTTCTTAATGTTCCTGCTAACAACAAACTCAAATATACAGCCGTTTCCATGGTGCAGTCCTTCATGCAGCTACACCCAACTAGAGGAGGAGGAGGAAATTGGATTTATACCCCGCCCTTCACTCAGAGTCTCAGAGCGGCTTACAAACTCCTTTCCCTTCCTTCCCCACAACAGACACTCTGTGAGGTAGGTGGGGCTGAGAGAGCTCTTTCAAGAACTGCCCTTTCAAGGACAGCTCTGACAGAACTATGGCTTGCCGAAGGTCATCCAGCAGCTGCAAGTGGAGGAGTGGGGAATCAAACCCAGTTCTTCCAGATTAGAGTCCGCACACTTAACCACTACACCAAACCACTACACCACTACCCAATACCAAAAGTACATGTTTGGGCCATTTTTAAGAAACTTCATCCATATTAAAATTTTGCTCAGATGTAGAAAGCTTGATATATCAATCAGAGGCTTCTGCTGTGGATTGCTACACCGTATGCACAGTTGTACGCTTTTATGTGCTCCTATTTCATCTGTGCACATAGGGTTACAGGTGTAATTGCTGCTGCATCTGTGGCTGCATACCCCCTGTCCTGGTACATGTCTATTTATTTACTTCATAACCCACCTTTCTTGCTGAGACTCAAGGCGGATTATTACAGGATATAAAACAATGCAATCACATCCCATAAATTGTTCAGTGAACAATGCAATTGGGCTAGGATTACAAAATTAGAAAACAATGTGAGCGACAAACTAAGGCATATTACGCTATAAACAATGCAGAAAATGTGGAATTATACAGTAACCCAGTGGACATTATATACTTGGACTTTCAAAAGGCTTTTGACAGCGTACCTAACCAAAGACTCCTAAGTAAGTTCAGTAGTCACGTGATAAGAGGATGGGTCCTCTTGTGGATTAAAAGCTTGGGTAAATGGCAGGAAGAAAAGAGATGTCACAATGGTGAGAAATAAGAAGTGGGGTCCCACAAGGCTCAGTACTAGGGCCGGTGTTATTTGCTTTGTTCATAAATAATCTGGAACTGGAGGTGGGCTGTGTAGCAGCCATGTTTGCAGATGACACAGAACTATTCAGGATTATGAAAATCAAGGCCAAGTGTGAAGAGCTCCAGGAGAATCTTCACAAATTGGGCATGGGTAGATGTGGCAAATGAAGTTCAGTGTAAGTAAGTATAAGGTGATGCACACTGTAACAAAAAAAAGTCCTAACTTCAAGTATAGGCTAATTGGTTCTGAATTTGCTGAGCCAGTTTGGTGTAGTGGTTAAGAGTATCAGACTCTAATCTGGATAACTGGGTTTGATTCCCCACTCCTCATGCAGCCAGCTGGGTGACTTTGGGTCAGTCACAGTTCTCTCAAGGGCAGTTCTCTCAAAGCTCTCTCAGCCCCACCTACCTCACAGGTTATTTGTTGTGGGGAGAGGAAGGAAAAGAGATTGTAAGATGCTCTGAGACTGAGTGAAGGGCATGGTATAAATCCAACTACTACTACTCCTCTCCTCCTCCTCCTCTTCCTCTTTCTCTGAGAGGGAAAGGGACTTGGGGGTTGTAGTAGATAGCTCAATAAAAATTTCAACCCAGTGTGCCTCAGTAGTGAAAAATGCAAGCTTTGCATTGGGTATTATTAGGAAAGGGATTGAACATAATAATATTCTTGTATAGATCTATGGTGCAGCCTCTTTTGGAATACTATGTGCAGTTCTGGTTACTCTACCTCAAAAAGAACATTGCAGAACTGGAAAATGTACCAAGGAGGGCAAATAGGTGGTTAAGGCACTGGAGCATTTTTCATGCGAGGAAAGGCTGAAGAGTCTAGAACTTCATTGTTTAGAAAAGAGATGACTAAAGGGAAACATGACAGAGGCTTATAAAATTATGCATAGAGAGAACTTTTCTCCATCTCCCAAAATACGAAAACTCAAGTGCATCCAATGAAGCTTTACTTTACTCAGTGAATAACTAAAATGTGGAATTCACTGCTAGAGAATGTAGTGATGGCCACAGGTATAAGAGGATTAGTTTAAGAGGATCAGCAGATTCATGGATGACAGGTCTCTAGCCACTAGCCATGGTAACTAAAGGGAACCTCCACATTCAGAAGCAGTAAACATCTGAATACAAGTGCCAGCAAGCATCGCTAAGGAGGACCTCAGCCTATGTGTCCTGTTGTTGACCCTCCATAGTAACTGGTTGGCCATATTGTGAGGCAAATTGCTGGACTAGATGGACCACTGATCTGATTTGGCAGGGCTGTTCTAATAAATGACTTCTCCTAAGGGCTTTACAGAGGGATTGAATAGCATGGGTGATAAGACTGAGCCTATGGCACCCCACAAGACAAGTCCTACTTTGATGAAACCAATCTAAAGCATAATCCCTTAATCCCTATTTCTGTGTCCAAACACCTCAATAATATGGCATGGTCCACAATAACAAAGCTTACTGATAAATGCAGTAAGAGCAAAGAAAGTGGCACAGCCCATGTACATTCAAACAGAGGTCATCTACTAAAGCAGCTAGTATCATCTCCATCCCATAGCCCAGCATGTGAAACCAGAACTGGATCCTAAGCAGAAGTCTTGTCCAGGAAGACCTGGGGGTTCTGCAACTGCTGTCTATCATCTGACTGAGGACTGGTGAAGAAATCCATTTGTGCCCCACGTGGTTTGGCTTCGCATTGTTTTTTATGTCACATTTGAGTGACATATTTCTCAACGGGACAGGCATTCTTTGAACAGTTTGTGGATGTACTAGGGAGTTGTATCATGTGAGCCATTTTCAGACTAAGGTTATGTATACCCTTGGAACCAGCATGGGAGCACCACAAACGCAGGGCTCTTTTTGTAGCAGGAACTCCTTTGCATATTAGGCGACACACCCCTAAGGTAGCCAGTCCTCCAAGAGATTACAGAGCTCTTCTTACAGGGGCTACTGTAAACTCTTGGAGGATTGGCTACATTAGGGGCGTGTTGCCTAATATGCAAAGGAGTTCCTGCTACAAAAAGAGTCCTATTTATTTATTTATTTTTTAATTGGATTTCTATCCCGCCCTCCCCGCGGACAGGCTCAGGGCAGCTTACACTTAAGGGCACTGTGTGCCATGATATATAAAAACATATAAAAATGAGATAAAACAATCATATATTACAATTAAAGTGCTCAGAATAAAGTTGGTCTGCCAGTCAAGTTAAAGATGGTATATCGTAGATGGATCATGGTTCAGCCATATCTGCCTTGTACTATACTGTGGCTCGATCTCCATATAGGGCTGACCAGCTACCCCAGTGCTACTAACAAATAGTTGGTGGTAGTGGTGGGCGGCTCCTAATTAAAAGCCTGGCGGAAGAGCTCCGTCTTGCAGGCCCACCTATTAAAGGTAGGTGTGTTGGGGGGGGGGCTATGAATGCTGAAAATAGTTTGCTAGGAAAATATACTGTTTGAATATGTTCAAGTTTTACGCTTGCCTTGTTTCTTGCAGGGAAGGGTCTCTGAAAGTTGGGGACAGGCTGTTAAGCGTTGATGGAATCCCCCTCCATGGTGTCAGTCATGCTGATGCACTGAACATCCTACGTCAGTGCAACCAGGAGGCCCTCTTCCAGATTGAGTATGATGTCACCATCATGGGTAAGAGATCTTTGTATGGTCTTGCCCTAGAAACTTGGATCGCAGGAAGGAACAATAGAACTGTATAAAGCTACTTAAGTGTAAAGGCAAAAAAATATATATTTGTGATAAGGTATGACCAATATATATAGGTCATCCTGTAAGAGTTCTGTTCTCAGTAGGTAATCAGTGAGGATTAGGCACAAACCAAGGCTGTCATTTTTTGGTCACATGATGAGACGACACTATTGTCTGGAAAAAGCAATAATGCTAGGAAAAGTAAAAGGCAGCAGGAAAAGAGGAAGACCCAATGGGAGAGGGATAGACTCAATAAAGAAGGCTACGGCCCTCCGTTTGCAAGACCTGAGCAGGGCTGTTAATAACAGGACATTTTGGAAGTCATTAATTCATAAGGTCACCATAAGTTGGAAGTGACCTGATGGCACTTAACACACACACAGATCAAATCAAGCCTGAACTCTTCCTAACAGCTAAAATGACTAAAGTGAGGCTATCATACTTCGGTCACATTATGAGAAGACAAAGAGTCACTGGAAAAGACAATAATGCTAGGGGAAAAATTGAAGTGTTAGCCAAATTGCCTCATTTGATTAATAAGCTTGGGGAATTATGAATATTAAAGGACAATAGGCATAAAATATGGGGATATAACCTGTGTTTGGAAATACCAGAATCCCCAGAGCCTGTGAATAGATGAGGAGACCAAGTTGATGAAATAATTGGTCTTTTACTGAGTAATTCTCAAACATACAATAAAATTAGCAAACACACACACACTCAATACAGCACTAGGAAAAGCAGAGGTGAAAAGATAGCTACATTTGCATTAGCAGGAAGTATCATTACCTGTCCAATAAGATGAACAGATCTTGCAGCGAAAAGAGAAGTAAAGGAGGGAGGGGGTGGATCATGAGCTGACCAGCGATGCACGTGGAGTAGTTCCAAATGGATCCGGGATGGAACCAAGAAGGTAGATAGGAGGCGAAGAGAAAAGAGCAAGCTCAGGGGGAGCTCACCTTAAATAGACAAATTATGACCTGAGGCCAGAGCCATGTGGTCACAGGTTCCCAGGAAATGTTGACAAAAAGAATAATATTCCAGGATGGATGGGACAAAGGAAAATGATGGTTGGGCAATTTAGGGTTGATGTGCGGCAGGGAGTGACACCTCTTGGGGAAGGAGGTGAGACAAAGGAAGGGGAAGTGGGATCCAGCCACTTCACAGAGTTGGTGCTTCATGTTAATGATCCTAGGCTTGTCAGAGGCATTATCTGGATCAGTGGCAGGAAGGCTTAAGTTTTGTTTCTAGCTGGGCAACTGTCTTTGTTTGAGAATGGCTTAGGAGGGGGGAAGAATGTGCTACATGATGAAGAAGAGATCTCTTCATGGCTTCTGTGCAGGAACATTGGTCCTCTGTCAGAACATGGATTCTCTTCTGGTCTGCTACTGTCTGTGTTCAATGGAGGCCAGGGCTGTTGGTCTGCATCACAGTCCTTGTGGGGATGCAGAGGTGCAAGGGCAGAAGTTTTCTGTAGTCCCAGGTCCACATCTGGCTTGGTATACTCCTTTGGCACAAGGCTTCCCTTGGCCACAGTGTACAGTCCATTGTCCAGCACTGGGCACTTTACTTAGAACCACAGCTCTGCCCATTGCCCTGGCATACACTCTTCACAGTCCAGCAAGGCAGTGATATTAAATGAGTCTTTAATAATGCCATCTGAAATGGCTTCATGGCAACAGAAGGCACTAGGAAAAGAGGAAGACCTAACATGAGATGGATTAACTCAATAAAGGAAGCTATGGCCCTCAGATTGCAAGACCTGAGCAAGGCTGTTAATGACAGAAGTAAAGATAAAATTAGTAGGCACATTGATGAACAAAGGCTATTGAGGAAGAATCAGCATGGATTCTGTAAGGAAACATCTTGTCTCACTAACCTTTTAGAGTTTTGTTTGCGGTTTTTTGGGGGGGGGGGGTTGTATTTTTTCTTATGTGCATGTGTGTGTGCGAGTTTGTGTGCACCTGGAAGTCATGGCTACCTCTGGTGACTGATCCCTCCTGGGGGCCTGGAGGGTATTCAGAGAGGAGACTGAATAAAGCCTGCCCCTGCCCTCCCGACTGATGGTATTTCAAGGAGGTCTCCCATCCAAGTACTTGCCAGAGTCAACCCTGCTTAGCTACCGAGATCTGATGAGATCATCGAAGAGATTGGGCACTTGTTAGATTGGGCACCTGTTAGAGTTCTTGAGGGGGTGAACAAATGTGGATAAGTGTGTGACCTAGTTGATGTTGTTTACCTAGACTTCCTGAAAGCTTTTAATAAAGTTCCTCTTCCAAGGCCCCTAAGTAAACTCTGCAGTCATGGGATAAGAGGACAAGTCCTCTTGTGGATTAAAAACTGGTTAATTAACAGGAATCAGAGAGTGAGTATAAATGGGCAGTTTTCACAATGGAAGGTGGTAAGTGGTGGGGTATCAAAGGACTCAGTTCTAGGTCCGGTGCTTTTGAACTTGTTCATTAATAATTTGGGGTTGTGAGCAGGGCCGTAGCTAAAGCCTTCCTAGTGGGGGGGCCCTGGGGAAAGTGGGGAGGCCGGATCACCCGGAAGTGACGTGATGCCCTCCCCCCCTTCTCTCTCTCTCCAAGCTCCCCCCCCTCCTTTGCGGCTGCTCTTTCTTTCCCCCCTGTTCTCCAGCATCTCCCACAAGGCCGTGCAATCCATCTTTTCTTACTCAGGAGTAAATGCCGCTGGACAGCGTGGGCTTTACTCCCGAGTAAGCAGGCATAGGCTGCAAGTCACTCCTCGTTTACCTGCGGATGGGCGGGGGCTGAGCCGGGAAACTTGGAGGGAAGCGGTGCAGGGGTAGAGCCTGCACTGCCCGCCTCTCGGCCACGTGCTGGACCTGAAGCGGAGCCTCCAAGGTCCGAGGCAGTGTACCCCGATGTCCCACGTGGTGGCCTTTGCCTTGCACGACGGGGTGGGGTGCATCTGGACGGTCACGGTTGGAGGCTAAGTGCTGGTGGGTGGTGTGGGAATTTGTTCCAATCCGGCAGAACTTAAGAAAACAGACCGTGGTAGGGTTGCCAACAGACCTGGAGAACATGTCCTGTGTCCCCGTGTGTGTGTGTTAAGTGGCGTCAATTGTGAGTCGTGGCTTCCCTGATGGATTCAGTCCATCTCATGCTGGGAGATGGGAAGAGCCAGTTTGGTGTAGTGGTTAAGTGCCTGGACTCTAATCTGGGAGAACCGGGGAGCTACAAAAGGAGGGCAGCAGGAGCCCTGGAGCTCTCTCCGGCTGGGCAGCTGGCTAGCTGGCGGCGTCCCCATAGTTGCCCCTTCCTCCTCCTCCCCCAGGGCAGGCAGGCGCGGGGAGCCCAGCTTTACCTCCTCGGAGACTCTGGGCTGCAGCTTGCCTTGCAGCTGGCTCCAGTGCAGGCGGTGCAAGTTCTGCAGCTGGCCCAGCATGAGCAAAGGGCGGCTTTGCGGGTCCGCCTCGCCGGCGCTGGCCTGGAACTCCAGCTGCACGTTCGCCATCTTCCAGCCAGCGGCAGTGGCAGGGGGCGGGCAACGTCCTCCGCGGCTCCTCCCAAGCAAGCGGCGCGCCTGCCTCCTGCGGCCGGGCCGGGAAGTGACGGCGCTGGGAGCGCGGAAAGGGAGGGCGGGAGAGCAGGGGGCGGCGGCTGGCGGCGGTGCAATGCACGGCTGCCCAATGAGGCGCCCTCCTTCAGCAAGCCCTCGGCCTCCGCCGAGCCGCCGGCGGGGGGCAAGCTTGGCCCGCTGGCCAAGGCGAGAGCCTCGGCGGCTGCTGCTGCAGGAGTCAGTGGCGGCGGCGGCGCGACGGGCAAGAAGTTGCCACGGCTGCCCAAGTGCGCCCGCTGCAGGAACCACGGCTACTCCTCACCGCTGAAGGGCCACAAGCGCTTCTGCATGTGGCGGGACTGCCAGTGCAAGAAGTGCAGCCTGATCTCCGAGAGGCAGCGCGTGATGGCCACCAGCAGCCTGCGGGATGGCAGCGGCGGCGATGGGCGGGGGGAGGGGAGCAGAGGATTGGGAGGGAGGGGGCCCGCAAAACCAGCGGGGGAGCCCGGGCCCGTGGGCCCCACACAGGCTACGGGCCTGGTTGTGAGTAAGCAGTGAAGCGGCGAAGGTTGCAGATGACACTAAGTTGTTCTTGGTGGTGAGTACCAGGGAGGACTGTGAGGCACTCCAGAGGGATCTGTTGAGGCAGGGCGACTGGGTGTCATTGCTGCAAATGAAGTTCAACGTGGGCAAATGCAAAGTAATACTCATTGGAGCCAAAAATCCTAACTACAAATAAACATTGGTGGGGGCCAGGAGAGATCTCTTGGAGTCATGGTAGATAATTCCCTGAAGATGTCAACTGCAATAAAAATGACAAATGCTATGCTGGGGATTATTAGAAGGGGACTGAAAATAAATCAGCCAGTATCATAGTGCCCGTGTATAAATCTATGATGCGGCCTCATTTGGAATATTGTGTATAATTCTAGTCGCCGTATCTCAAAAAAGATATTATAGCATTGGGAAAAGTGCAGAGGAGGGCAACTAAAATGATTAAGGGGTTGGAACACTTTCCTTGTGAAGAAAGGTTAAGGAGGTTAGGGCTCTTTAGCTTGGAGAAATGATGATTGAGGAGTGACATGATAGAGATTTACAAAATTATGCATGAGATAGAGAAGGCAGAGAAAGAAGTACTTTTCTCCCTTTATCACAATACAAAAACTTGTGGACACACAGTGAAATTAATGAGCAGTAGGTTTAGAACAGATAAAAGGAAGTACTTCTTCACCCGAAGAGTACATTACACATGGAATTCAATGCCTCAGGAAGTAGTGGTGGCTACAAGCATAGACAGCTTCAAGAGCATATGGAGCAGAGGTCCATCTGTGGCTATTAGCCGCAAGGTATAGAAGGAACCATATGCCTGGAGCAGTGATGCTCTGTATTCTTGGTGCTTGGGGGGCAACAGTGGGAGGGTT